ACCAACGTGACATGCGCCGGTAGTAGTAGTTCGAGCGGAGTTGACGAAGTAACAGGTTGTTGGAAGCTAGTTAGCTTAGTTAGCATTCTAAACAGCACAGGCTCTCAATTTTGGTCGGCATCTGTTCGCAACAGTCACACTTGCACCACCAATTGCTGTTTGCCCGTGGTCTTTCGCCAGCTCCGGTCTGTTCTGGATCATTATCTTTCTTGCCTCTCACGGTCCATAAGAGCTAATTCCTCCTCCGTGTACTCGGGTTCAAACAGATATGGCTCTGGGTCTTCTACAAAGAAGTCATAATCATCTACAAAGTCCGCCATTGCAAATGATCTGCAGTTTGCTAATAGCACAGGTAGTAAAAGTCACGTTGGTTGTATTGACGGAAATGTCAGAGGGAGGGGGAGAGGAAGCGGGAGCCGGTAAGAGGACTTTTCACGAGTGAAGATATTATTGCGCCAAGTCGAAGTGCTCAAAAGCACTTGTTATGGTATTCCGCCATACAATATAGTCATCAATTTTAAACGCTTAGAAAAGCGCAACGGTTTATTTTGTGTCACCAGCCCAGGTCAAGTTACACTACTCGAGTAACTGTGTTTACATAGGGAAAACGTGGAAGTGTTTGGTCGCTTCTCTGCTTGGCCCATATTTAATGCATGGGCTAAGCTAAGTGCTAACATAGTTTTGCGGCAATACAGAGCGATATAGTGCACGCACTGAGACGAGAGAGGTATGTATCAACTCGTCTTAGTTAAGGGAATAACATAGTTTAATAAGAAAAACTGGTGGAGTATCCCTTTAACAATGAAATCACTCGCGCCAGACGCTCTATTCTCGTCTGGTGTGAACGCACCATGATGTTTTCTCTGCAGACCTCTACGCCTGCGATGTAACGCCACATTTTTGCTTGAAGGTGTGCCTCTTCTAAAAGTGTCCGCCGTCCGGGTGAAAGAGTATGCTATTTTTATTTACCCGCCACGGTGGCCGGTAGGTGAAGCGAGTTTACCCGCCACAACACAAAATCACCCGCATTTGGCTGGTGGCGGGTGCTAATTTCCATCCCTGTAGTGTACCAAGAAGCAGCGCTGCGTTACCTCACAAGTTTAATTCGTCTAATAAACTGTCCTGTGTGAGTAATCCAGCACTTGCGGGTAGTTCGGTTGAATTAAATGTCCTTATTCCTTTATATCCGCGTGACTCGCGTGTGATATCACTTATCATTTTCTGTTCCTCCATTGACAGCTACGCAACTATCACTTCGACGCTTCTAAAAGAGATCAAAAAACTAATCCAGATGAATCGAACGGTTTAGTCCAAATTTTCTGAAGAGACTCGATCGCTTTATATGACAAACCTCATTCATTGGTTCTTGCTGAAGCTCAATTGTGCTGCGTAACAGGAGAATGAACCTCATTGGTTCTCGCACATCAAGCGAATATGCTTGAGCTTGCGTTTACAACAACTGATGTGTGTTGATGAATGTTTATATGTGAATAAAAGCCTAAATTAAATCTGTTTATCATATAAAGCAATAGAAAGAAAATTTTGACTAAACCGCTCAATTCTTATGGATTAGTTTTACGATCTCTTTATGAAATTTTTAAAGCGTAAAAGTGGTAGTTGGGTAGCTGTATATCGAGGGACAGAAATCTCTCAGATTTCATCAAAAAGATTTTCATTCTGTTCGAAATGTGAACGAAATTCTTATGAGTTTGTAACGACATGAGGGTGAGTAATTAACGTGTTTATAATTATGCTCTTGCAAATTATTTAACTCAAACTTTCCAACTTGTATATTTTAGTGTATGTCGAATGTCACATGAACAAACAGAGAAAAAGGCCTCATCGTATCCGCTAGTGTTAACAACATGAAGGCGATATCTATGGACTTTTAACGCTAACCCGTTTTAAACAAGTTTCCCCAAGTATTTCCCTGTCTCTGCCATTGTTCGAACAAACAAAGGTCGCACCGCCCCAAAACTCACACCAATGGTTGAGACAATGCTGCAATGCTTTGATAGCATGACAGACCCACAGTTTTTACACGTTTTGGGAATTGGCCTGTAAATGCAGTTGATTTGAATTTGCATATTAGATTGAAATATTATAAAATGTGTATACTTTACAATTATATAAAGCTTCTTTATGACCAGAATGTAGACAAAACTGGCAAATTGCATTGTAGTATTTCCATTCAAATACCTTTTTTGGACAATACCATGATGGTAATACCACGGTATTCTTGTGAGTACTGTACAGAGATATTCACATTATTGTTGTTAACTAGAACTAAAACAGTTGACATATGTCTTTTGTAAATTTCAATAAAGCTATAGCCTATACAGTTACCTCTTACACGAGTGTAAACAAATCAGCTGTTTCCCTTACATAACAGTTTTGGTCTCAGTTCCTCTGAAAATAAGTTTTGTGGAAATTGTTGAGAAATGTGTGAGAGGATCAACTCACCATGCAACAAATTCAGTTAGTTTCTCAGTTCTCCTGTGCTCGCATGAGTGGCTCCTCTTCACACACACAAACACTGCTCCAGTCCTCCCATAGAAAACAAATCAATGTGGTCTAAGTGCCAGAGACAGCAGAAAGTATGTTGCGAGTCGTGGCTCTGCAGTGAATGGAGCTCATGGTGTCTGCTGCCCTGTGTGAAAGAGCATTAAACTTCTCAGATCCTGCAGCGTGGAGTCAAAGGCATTCTTCTGCTGGAGAGAAAAGAGAGAGAAAAAACATGCTTTTAGAAGCTCTTCAATCTCAACAAGTCACTACAAGTGTCAGCGTGAGTGCGTGTGTGAGTGTGTTTGTAGGAGAGCCTATTGTGCTCTCAACGATGATTTTCAAGAAAACCAAGTTTGCTGCTGTAGTAAACAAAAGAGAAACCAATGTTTTGATTTTCTCAGATATACAACAGTTTCAAAACACATTTTTTCATTCATACTGAAGAAAAAAACAAGACGTACGGTCTCACCTCAGCATCTTTGTAAGAGTCATCGGAACTTGTGCTTTAATCTAAACTGTTTTTAATGTCCATAATGACAAATTGTTTCAATTTGAATGTTCACAATAACTTGACATAATCCGGATGAACTTGTTCTGTTGGCAATGTATGTTGGATTTTAATATGGAGGTTATACCAGCTAAACCATATGTTTTACTGTTTTACCAGTATGTTTAACTGTATTTGAGGACATTTTAAAATCTGGCCCTCACAAGTAAAACCTGTACGTTAACGTTACACAAATAGGGCTAACCCTACACGATTATCCAGCATTCATTTCAACGTTTACTCGCGGCCGGGTGAATCAACATAGCTGAATCATTGAATGTTGTGTTCATTTTGCAAATCGAATCAAGGCTGATATTGCAATGTCTGATTTAAAAACGGATTTGGAAGTGTTTGGTAACCTTTTAACAACTGAAATTATTTAAATCCTAAATTGAAGCGCCGGCGATGCATCGGCATGTTCAGTGTTAAATATAGACTTTATTTAGCATCCAACTACAACTAACAGTTGAATCAATGCAATTACATTTGTGTGTTAGAAACTTTGAAGGGAACGAAATGATGAGGTAAAAGTTAGTTAATAGCGCCTCCTGGTGGTCAGTCATTAACCCTTAACCGCTGCTAGGCCATACCAAATAAATAAATAACGTTACATGGACACGAGTTATATTAATCTGAGTTTAAGGTGTTTTATCATTTACTTGAATAAGTAGCCCATTAGAAACATTTATCCCAGAAACAACACTTTCTTTTGATCAAGTTCTTTTGCAAATGTTTTTACTCGTGCTTAACTAGACGCTCTTGAAATTCTAGTAATGCATCGAAAGGTTTATCCTCACCATTGAATTTGAATCCTTGCTGAAGTCCTCCTTTTTGTCAAAACTGTTATACCGTTTTCAGTGGCAAGATGGCGGCAATGAGCTGTTCTTCTAACCGGCATTAGCATTAAAATAATGCCGCGGACAATTAAGGACAGACGCAGTCCATGTAGTCGAATGTAAAACTATAACAGCGGATAAATTGTATAAAACCTTCCCTTTAATTCCCATACATATCACAGTTATAAATAACAAGAAATTATTTTAACATCACATGAAAACAGATATCTACAAAGTCACAGTAGCACCATGCATGTTCATAAAACCGATATGACAGTTGGTTAATCAGGAACACAAATGCAACCATTTCACAACCTATCCCTAAACGCTTACAAACCATACTCGCTTCTAGAAGGCTGAATTGTACTTTATATTCAAATACCTTTTTTTTATTTAGCAAAATCCTGCCTCATACGGGTTGTTTCTCCTGCAAATGTGTCCAAAAAAAAGCGTCATTCAAATTTCAAAACATGACACTCTACAGAGACACTCGGAAGCAGGGTCAAAAATTAACTTTTGCCACTCCTCTCAAAATCTAAGGCCATATTTCTTACTGGACATGAAACTACATTATATACATAATGTATATAATTTTTTTATTTTTTTTATTTTCAGTAATGTCAAGTACTGACTTGACATTACTGAAAAAAAAAAAAAAATTGGGGTCAGTTTTACAATTCGATTTAAATAATGTATTATGTTACATTAATGTATTATGATCATATTTCTGTTTTTATTTCCATTACTGAAGCTCAAACAGTGCTAGCAATGCCAAGGTCATGAGTTTGATTCCCAGGGAATGCATGAACTGATTCAATTTAGGCCTATATCTTTAAAAGCAATACATATTTGCCCAATTTATATTTGCATTTGGTAATGGGACGTGCTAATTTTGGACCCTGCCCCGAACAACACCATATTCACATTCATCTGAGCATATAGATCCAGTTCACAGTAGGTGCTTGATTAAGTCCTTTATTGTAAGACCAGTTTGATGTGCTTCTTTCTTAAATGTGTGGAAATGTCCTCTTGGCTCATGGTTTTGTCATTACAAACCGGAGTTTAAAGATCTTATTAATTAAATAGAGAGAGAGAAAGAGATATAAAGAATATTGGCTCAGATTTTCCCTTTTTAATTTTCTGTAATCTCAAAGGAACACGCGACATTGTGTGACAGCCTTATCATGAGAGGCAGGACAAGCTGGTGGACTTCGGCTCTCGTGTTATTAATAAAGTGGCATTGTTTAAGACGTCACGCTGAGGGAAGAATGTCGATTACAGGGAGTCCTTGTTCCTTCAACAGGACATCAGTCTTTATTGGAAGGCACTGGAAGATTGAGACGGCGAAGGGTGGGCAGAAATGAGGAGGAAATCAATCTTGACTAGTCCGTCTCTTCTCCAGCTTCTGTTTAAGCTCGTCTGTGAGGCCTGAAGGGAAGAGAATTTCCTAGTCATTTATTAAATATCCAGTCATATTTTAACCCTCATGCTGATTTTACTTTCTGTATGTTTGGGGTCCCAGAGAATCGAATGCACATAGGGGGAAAAATATACACTACTGTTCAAAAGTTTGATGGTTTTTTTTTTTTTTAAATGCTTAAAGAAGTCTCTTAAGCTCACAGAGGCTGCATTTTTATTGATCAAAATACAGTAAAACAGTAATATTGTGAAAAAATATTGCAATTTAAAATAACTGTTTCAATATGTTTTCAAATATAATTTGTTTCTGTGATCAAAGCTGAATTTTCAGCATTATTACTCCAGTCTTTAGTGTCACATGATCCTTCAGAAATCATTGTAATATGTTGATTTGCTGCTCAAGAAACCGTTTTTTTGGAAACCATCAAATATATTACAATTCTTTGATGAATAGAAAGTTCAAAAGAAGACATTTATTTGAAATAGAAATATTGTGTTAATAAATCTCTCTAATGTAATTTCTGATCAATTTAATGTATCCTTGTTGAATAAAAGAAAATAAATCTTATCATCCTCAAACTATATATATATATATATATATATACAAATATTTAAAAAATCAAAATACCTAAATAATAATACTAAAAGTTATAATTAATAATTATATTATTGAGATTATTTCATATTATTGAAATTGTTTCTTACTGTTCAAGTCAATTTATAGAAAAATACAATAAAATTCAGAACCCAAAACAAGTTCTTTGGAGGGGTTAAAAGTGCCTTGAGCTCTTACTCTGAGAGAGAGGTGAGGGAGACAGAACCAGTCTTCTCATGGAGTTGGACGGAGAGCCAGATGGGGAAAAGGATCGTGATGAGGGACTGGGAGATCTCGTCTGTGACCGCAGCGTCCATCTGTCTGTACCTACTGAACGAACACACATACTCTCACTTAGTCAAGAGAAACTGGAGTGAAAATAGACCGGGTATACTGTATATTGATCTGAATAAAAGCATTCACTAAATTACTAGTACACATTGACGTACTGTATAAAGTATGTGCTGTCCTAGATCTAGTGTTCACACATAGCCAGCATTTTCTCAAACTTTTCACAGTGTAATGCAATTCCTGCAAGCCACGAATTGCTCAAACACACAGATTGAGACTTGTTTCATACTTTTGCAGCAAGATTCACTACAGAATCCAAGTGCAACTGTTCCTGCGTGTTGTTTGGCAGGGGCATTGTAGCTGATATAACAAATGATTTATTATAAAAGTGCCCAAAAATATCTGGATAATAACACGTTGGGTTTGAACCTATGGCTATGACCTAAACAGCAGCAGATGTCATTGTGTGAAGCATGAGATGTGTGGTACCTTGTTTCCGGGGCAGTGATGGAGCTCGAGAGAGAGGTCCAGTGGGAGCACAGTGCAGGGTTCGCTCTCCATTCTCATCATTGGATGACACAAACGCTACAGGAAAAGGAAATGCAGATGATGAGTTCAGTGCAAAGCAAACTAAGTGTCGTGTTATGGCCCAGTTTAACATCGTGTTTGTGACATACTGATGTTCTCCTCATAAGGCTCCTCTAATATGAAGGGCTGAAGAGTCCCGGCCGTTTTTTCCACGAGTGCATTGATGACATCATGCAGTGTGGGACAGGGGATCTGGAGGAAGAGGCCAAACAATAAGAGGAGGAGTGAGATTTCCCCAAGGTTGATGTTTTCCCCTTAATTGAGAAAGTCATTTTCACATACTGGGTTTTCCACGTCGATGATGTAACCACCCTGCTGCTTCTGTGTCACTCTGTAATGCCTGAACACTGAGCTGAAAAAAGACAACACAACAGCTCTGTAAACACTAGTGAGCCGACTTTAATCATATTAGGCCGTTTATAATGACATAGTGCAGTGTGTTTGTTAACTGACACTACAAATAAATACATTTTTCGTTAATTGAAAAAAATATATATAATATAAATAATTAAATTAAAAACTTAGAAATGTTGCCTTGGAAAAATCTAAAATAAGGTGTAGTACTAAAATGACTAAAACTGAAACATAATTAATTCTAAATAAAAATATTAAAAGCATAGGAAAAACGACAAAAGCCCATAACCAAATGACTAGAACAAACGAAATTTGAAATGAAAACTGAAAATAAAAGCTAAATCTAAATATTATTAAATACTATATTATTAAATAAATGATACTAAAGTAACACTGATCCAGTGTCATAGTGAATGAATCCATTGAATTTAAGTGGAATTCCAGTGATTGTCTCACACACACACACACACACACACACACACACACACACACACACACACACACACACACACACACACACACACACACACACACACACACACACACACACACACACACACACACACACACACACACACACACACACACACACACACACACACACACACACACACACACACACACACACACACACACACACACACACACACACACACACACACTTGCTTAGTCTAAAGAAACTGGAGTGAAAATAGACCGGTTGTACTGTATATTGATCTGGATAAAAGCATTCACTAAGTGACTAGCACACATTGATGTATAAAGTATGTGCAGTCCTATGAGGAAATCATAAAATCCAGTGATGACATCAAAATAAATAAACCAAGGGAAAATTCAGTCATAATGTGCGTTTATGAGTTCATAATGAAATTGTATAATGTATAATAAGTAAACACAGGGAAAATTCAGTTATGTCTATTTAGGACGTCATAATGAAATCCACTGATGATGTCACAATGGCCCCTTACGATGAAATGGTCTCAAGAAAACAATCAGTGGAACAAATTCAAGATGCCATATTAGGTCAAACAATGTATAATTAATTCAGTAGTGAATGTTTTTCCACTGATATGTGCAAATGCTTTGTATATTTTATGCTCAATTGGAATTAAGAGTCTAGTCTCCTGTGCGCTACACTTCATGATGAGCACTATTTGTGTTTAGTGTGCAGAGCTGCTGTCTATAAATATCTCTAATAATTCACTTATGATGTTCCATCTGGTTTAGGATGCTGATTTATAAGCAATGTAAACAGTAGACAACAAGGAGGCTCACTAAGTTTCAGAGCAGAGCTTGGAACAAGTGTATTTTTGTAGGTTAAGGTTTGCTCTCACAGTAATAAATGAAAAGAGAGAGAGTTTCAGTGTTTTTACCCGTTCAGGTCTTGTCGTGTGGTGACAGCGAGTGAAGATCCGTCCCGGCCCGGTCTGAGTAGCATGTTCCCACAGTCCGGATGTCTTTCTAACAGCACCTCAGCTTCAGTTCGAGAAACAGGCCTGAAACACCTGCCAAATAACACACACAAGAACATATTTGTCTCAAGTATACACTAAGAATTCACATCGGTTAAATAAGTAGAAGATTTTGGTAAAGGTTTGTGCTTTTAATCCAATTCCTGTCAACAATATCAAGTCTAAAAATGTCCAGAAAGGCTAAAAATAAAAAGTTGTTTTGTAATGCCTAATAAGAACTGAAACCTTAGTGTCACTTCTAATAAGAACATGTTAACGGCAGTAGCAAATACAGAATGGCAATGGATGAGAAGTTATGAATAACACATCAAACACTGCATAGGCTATACCTCATAAAATATACAAATAATGATATAAACACTGTATAAACACTAAAACGTCTAGTTTGGAACATTTTGTAGTTCTGAGAATCACACGGAAGAGATCGTTTTTATTGTTTATTTTTATTCCTGGCTAGGTCACAGTGTAAATCTATTAAATATTTTTGTCGGTTTTTATCACGTAGGCAAAAATCGTTCACAAAAGTAACACTAAAAGGGCAATAGAAACACTGATGTTTTAGCAATGGATAAACACAGAGACGTTCAAGAATGTCATCTCAGACCCTCTCCACAAACACACTCGCTCAGATAAACAGAAACTCACGCAGGTATTTCCCCCACCAGCGGGAGCGAGAGGGGGGATGAGGGGGCTCTGGAAGACGCACGTGCCTTTCGACGCATTTTTTCTTTCTCCACGACCTCCTTCAGCATGTGCAGCTGCCCGGGCAGGAGGGTGAGAGTCGTGGGCACGGCCAGCTGGAATCAAACGCAAAGCATATGTCACTCTAATTTGCACGGGTAAATACACCGGCCATAGTGCACAGGGACTCTGATCCCTTTATCTATGAAAACATGCGAGCAGCATCACTAAAGAAACGAGGGGGAGGTGTTTCAGGGTGTTGTTTTAAACGGGATTGATGTAAAGCCAGTGGATTTGACGGTGATAAATACTTTTTATAAGACCTGATCATGGCACATTTACTTTATTGCATGACTAACATCCAACTAAAACTGTTCGAGGGTGAGTTCACACTAGTAGTTCGATTCTCTTGGTTATTTTTGGTCCAAAAAAGAAAGTGATACATTTAGTCCTGGTTCACTTAGCGTTCACACTGTCATTTTTAACACCGAAACTAAAGATAAAAAAAAAAAAACAGCGTGTAGCCTATGATGTATATTTTGCAACCGAACATCCAAAATAATGACTGTGTGCCTTTTCAGAGGTCTCAGTCTGTTCATGATTCAAATGAACCACACTAAAGCCCCTTTCACACAGAGATTCCGGAAAATACACGGATAAAGTGACCCGGGATTTGACCCGGGTTTTGCTTCATTCACACTGCCAGTGATTTGCCGGTATTACCCCCCTCGTTGAAGTCAGTACCTGATTGCCTAATCCCAACCCCGCCCCTAATCCTAACCCCTCCCCCAAAACTAATCCTAAACCTACCAATGCTAGGGGGGTAATAATTTGGCGGGGGTCGAAATTCGGCACAACACCAGCATCAATCCCGGGTCGTGTTTGCGTTCACACAGAAAGCACTCTGGCAATTTGCCGGGTTCAAAGCGCTGTGTGAAAGGGGCTTAACAGAGTTATCACACCAGTGTTTGTTTCTATCGAACCAAACCGGCCAATTGTGAACACACCCTTAATTATAAAACAGATTATATTCAATGAAATTCTGAAAAAACATTTAAGCTATTAAGAAAATCTTTCAACAATATTAATTTGAACAAATTATAGATAGTCTAAAATAATCTAATATCTAATAGCCCATTATAATCCTGTTTTATTTTCCTTTTGTTACATCAACTCTATTGGTTGTCTAAAGTCCAAATAAAGTGGTTTAATTGTTAAACACACATCACAATGATGTGCAACCGCAGTGTCAATAAACAGTGCAACTGGACTGTCAGTTAGATTTTCCATTGTGGAGTGAACAAGTGAATTTTGAATTAACATTATGTAAACAATCATTAAAATTGTCGTACATCTTATTTGATGTCATACAATTTCCATAATTGTTATTAGATATAAACTAGCATTTAAAAGTTTGAGGTCAGTACAATATTTAAATGTTTTTGAAAATCTCACAAGGCTGCATCTACAGAATTTTAATCAATAACAGTAATATTGTGTTATAATAGTAATCATATTATTACTATTTAAAATAACTGTTTTTTTCTGAATATATGTTAAAATGTCATTTTTTCCTGTGATCAAAGCTGAACTTTCAGCATCATTACTCCAGTCTTCAGTGTCACATGATATTTCAGAAATCATTCTAAAATGCTGATTTAATGTTCAAAAAACATGTATTATTATTATTATTATCAACTTTGACACATGCATTTGTGCTGCTTAACATTTTTGTGAAAACCTTTTTTTTTTTTTTTTTGAAACATTAAAAATGTCTTTATTGTCACTTTTGTACAACTGAATGCATCCCTGGTGAATAAAAGTATTAATTTCTTTCAAAAAAAAAAAAAAAAAAAACCACCAAATCCATCCCAAACTGAAAGAAACAACAGTATCAGCTGCATTCTTGGAAACTGGTCATAAATCTCAAACCCTCCTGCAGTTCAAAGGTCTCAGATCTTAACCAGCTCAGAACAGAAATATTATTCAAGACTGTGTGCAAAAAAAAAGAAAGAAAAAAAAGTCTGATCCAAATTCATTGCTGTGCAGGAGGAGCTGTAAGTGTTTATTGACCTGCACACAATAGCACTAGAAAATCCACTAGCGTTAAGCCAGCATTCCCACTAAAGAACATATGTTAAGTTCTGTTATAAAAAAAACAAATACTCATTTGATTGAACTCACATCTACGACAGAGTAGAGAAATCCTTTCCACAGCTCACGTGCCTCGAGATTTGGTGCCTAAGAGGAAAGAGAGAGACATATTGGCATTAATTATATTATTAACTAACTATAATTCCTTACACTACTGCATTACGTTACAGTCATATAGTATCTCACAGCCAATTAGATCTCGATTACATTTATTGATCATCCAAGATGACTTACAAATGAGGAAACCAACAAGACATTAGTATTTGTGAATTCAATTTTCACAGAACTTTTATTTATGCATTTCTTTGAGGTATGGAAGGGCTGCGTATTGGCTTTGTAAGAGGAAGTATCAAAGTACAGTGATAGTCAATGTCGGGGAAAGTGTTTTTCTGCCTCTTTCTGTAGGTAATCTCTTAACAATCTCTCTAGCAGACCTCTGATCAACCCTCATTCCCAGCGCAAAATAAACCAAGAGTTTCCTGAGCAAAGACTACAGTACATTCAACGTCTGATAGTGATCCTACGCTGTACAGTAAGTGCTGTTTAGTCTTTGACCTGACCATAATATGACCTGGAGCTGCCTGGAAGTGTTATTACTGGCATCAGATGTGCTGAGCATAAACAAGAATACAATAATGGTCCATGAAACCAAAACTCTCTATAGCGTCTCGAAAGGTAAATTCTGTATGGAGAAGTTTGTAAAGAGTGAAAAACAGAGTGTGATGGGATTGAGACGTGCGTTTGGAGCGTGACTGTCTCATAGGGAGTCCAAGCTTAATGTTTCAAGGAAGCGCTTGTCATTTTAGAGTGTGTTCACACTTGACAGGTTTTGATTGGATTAAAACAAACCCTGGAGCGATTCCTTTGTTAGTGTGGTTCATGTGAATAAGTGTAAACGCTGGCATCCGATCCCTGGTGCACACCGAACAAGTGGACCCGATTGAAATATGATAGCAACACGGACCAAAAGTGGTGTCACAAGATGCGACCTTAAAATGGAAAGAATGCTTAAACAACATACCTGGTTCATCTCATCATCAGGATGCTCATTACAGTTCAGTAAAGGTGTCGGAAATGCGTTTCAGTGTGTGTGTGTCTGTGTAACTAAGGAATTCCTGGCACTGTTTTGACTCCACACATTTTATAAGCTCTTCATGACAGGGTATATGCAGGAATCTTGAAGTTAATTTTAATACCTTTTCAAGACTTTTTCAAGACCTTCTCAATATTTTTTAATACCTCACCGCCACTTCAAGCTGTAACCATTTACATCAGTGATACTTTTAACTTAACAGTTTTAGTTTGTGATAAAGACTATAGACCACTCTGATAAAAAAAAAAATCAAATAGGCTGGGATAGTAAATCAAAGCAAAGTTTTTTTAATAAAAATGACTAAATTCACACACTTTTACGATGTTTTTGGGACTCAAACTGTTGGACAGATAATTCAGAAAAAATACTTTCAAAATGTAAGACATTATAAAGCCGTGATAAGACTTTTTAAGGGTCTTAATTTTCCCAAAATTTATTTATCACCTTTTAATACTTTTCAAGACCCCGCGGATACCCTGCATGAGTTCTCAGCAGGTAAAAATACCATCATACGCATCACACAGCATTGTTTTGGATGTTCGGTAATTTCCGACGCAAAATATGTTATAAAAGCCGGGGGTTTTTGTTTCGTATCTTTAGAGTCGTTAAGATTCGTGTAGATTCGCTATAAATAAACATATCATTTTCTTTATTGGTCCGGACCAATACAACCAAGAGAACCGAAATACAAGTGTGAACACACCCTTAGTGTATGATCAGTGTTGGGGAAAGATACTTTTAAAAGTAAGGCATGACAATATTGCGTTACTCCCTAAAAAGTAACTAATTAGTTCCTTTTTATGGAAAGTAATGTTTTACGTTACATTTTCTCATCTGGCCTTGGCTTGCATATTTGTTTTTTAATTAAAAACAACAACAAAGTTTCTATTTTTGGCAAATGTAAAGGCCCTTTCACACCAAAAGTCAAAATGAATAAGCCTCAGGCTGAAGGAAATGCAAATTCACGCCTGCTGCCATTCTGAATTGCAGAAGAAAAGAGTAAAAAAGAGAAAAAACGAGAAAAAAGTTCAACTCTCTTACTTACGCAATTAAAAACAAATAAATTGAACACAAATGTGATGTTTATCTGAAGTCATTTTTGCTTAGTACGGTTGAATTGGATCATTGGAGGTCAGCTTCAAAGACATTGGTTAATAAAGTGATACTAAATACAAAGTATATGTGTAATTTAACATTAAATTATTGCAGGCTTGCATCATATTCTAAGTTTTCATTCATTTTGAGAAATACTGAATCTGTATTTGTGCAAGTGAGATGAGTAAATGCCTGCTCACATTTAGTCTAGATCACAATTGTCATCATGTTTACACAGCGCGCACACACACACACAACACCTCTGCAGTTACTCAAGATTTCTCTCAACATGGGGACAATAGAGCTGTCAGTCAATAAATTAAAGTAACTCAGATATTTTGTTGTAAATTTAAAAGTAATGCGTTACTTTTCTAGTTACTTAAAAAAGTAATCTGATTACATAACTTGAATTACTTGTAATGCGTTACACCCCCATCACTGTGTAGAATATACATGATCAGGCGTTCTGTGAGCGATCTGTGTGTGTGAGCCGAGATTAAGAGCATGAGGGGAGTGAGATGTGTGTTTGCTGACAGACATTTGATACTCACAGTGAGCTTGATTTCTCCATCCTTCATGCGGAGGTTCAATCTGGCTGCTTCCAGATTCCTATCACGACTTGGGTCATCGATCAGAGACACAAACCCACTCAGATCCAACTTCTCTACATACTATTTAGAAAACACACACATACAGAGCGACATTTAAAGGAACAATTCAACCACAAATCCCTTCTCAAACCAGACTGACTTCTGTGAAACACAAAAAGATGATTTTTGGCAGAATGCCTAATGTCAATGATTTAATTATCATTTTAAACAATAATAAAATATTTTTATGTTGAATATTCTTATTAAAAATACAAATATTTGTATTATTATTTAAAAAAATAATAATATATATATACACAAATAAATAAATATATTATTGCAATAATTCTATTTTACTGTAAAATATTTTTTTTTATTTAACAATAATAATAATAAAACAATAATAACTTATTTAACAGAACAACAGTAAATTGCCGTACTAATACTTATGGCTGTCTTTATTTATTTGCTTTTAAGTGTTAAACTAAAGCGCTTTCATTTTTTAATTCTTTAAAAACATGGGTCACACTTTTCAGGTTGAAAAATACGGATGATAAAAAAAAAAAATGATACAAATACGTAAAAATCACATCTCTGCTTCTGAAGCCATACGACAGCTGTGTATGAATCCATCTGAGAAGAATTTTAGTCCGTGTTTACTGTAAAACACCAGCTCGGACATTCTGCCTAACATCTCATTTTGTGTTTCAAAGAAGAATGATATACACGTTTGGAATGGCATGACGGTAACATTCAAGGTAACAAGGAAATGGTAATAACATTTTAGTTTTGAGGTGAACTATCCCTTTAAAATTAAAAACACAACTCAGAATAACACAACAGAATCCCAGGGAAAGCAAGAACTGATCAAATGTGAACCTTAAATGCAACACTTTGGATAAAAGAGTCTGCCAAAAGTATATGTGATCAGTAGATGAAGGCATAAATTTGGGTCTGTTCTTCACACAGAGTTCATGATCACGTTCCATGAGCACGTATAAGTTCCCACACAGTGTGATTCTTCAGCAAACTTTGCATGTCACTTTCTCTTTTTCCCCTCAACCGTCTCACCCCTGGCTGAGGTTATAGAGGTTGAAACTGCTATCTTGATGGGTTCAGAGCGAAAATCAATACTGAAACCACAATTAAGTCGAGTCTGATCAAACTCGTCTGCCTCCTTGCCATCTGCTCTCCCACGGCTGAGAGCGCTTATGGAGATGATAAGGTTACGATGGACTCGAAGGGGATTTGCAGAAAATGTCCTTCTAGATCTCTCCTAATGCTCCACGGATTGATAGAGGATTGTATACATCTGTATGGGTAGCAAACCCCTGAATATGTCACTCACATGTGTGTCCTTAGAGTTGTTGAAGAAGTATAAAGTGTTTCCACATAAACAGGTCCATAAACGACGAGCCACCTGCATCGAGAGAAAACAAAAGCAATTACTCAATATGCATAATAGTTTGACTTTATTGTACTATATATAAAGACACAAAAGTGACAGTAAATCATCTCTCTGGACTTAGGAAGGTTAAATGTCTATTCAGAGATCTAACACACAATGTTGACGTGGTAATGCTCTGGCAGTGAAGCAAATGGCAGTCGTCTCTGCATAGATTACCACTCTTCTGTCTGTAATTCTCTGCTCTGTCTGGCTCAATCCTGATCTCAGTGGCAGCTCTCCCCAGGGCATGGGTTTCACACACACACACACACACACACACACACACACACACACACACACACACACACACACACACACACACACACACACGCCGGCCCGGAGCTCAGCTGTCCTAAATCTGAGACCCACCCCCCTACACACCCCCGTCACACACTGTGCACCTGAACCCCACTGAATATTCCCTCCTGAATATACGAATGGTGTATGTGAGCCTCTTTGTCACCTTTTTTTGTTTTTACTTTGGAAAATATTTTAGTTTAGCACTAATGTATTATATATTTTAGTTATATATATTTGTTTTATTTCTGTGTACACATATATGCGCACACACATGTGTGTGTGTGTGTGTGTACGTATATACACACACACACACACACACATATAAATATAACAATACAGTGCACAAATATACATGTATTATATTTTAATTTTGTACATGTAAACATACGTATGTATTACCCAAGTAAATACCTTCATTTGAAACACTTTACAATAAGGTTAATTAGTTAACATTAGTTAATGTATTAACTAACATGAATTGACAATGAGGAATACATTTATTACAGTATGTATTAATCTTTATTAATGTTAGTTCATAAAAATTCAGCTGTTCATAGTTTGTTCATGTTAGTTCACGGCACGAACTGTTAACAAATACAGCATTTGATTTTAATAATGACTAAATGTTGTAATTAACAAACTAAGATTAATAAATAAAGTAGAAGTATTGTTCATTCTTAGTTCATGTTAACTAAAGTAGGTAACTAATGTTAACTAATGAACATTATAGTAAAGTGTTACACCTTCATTTTATATTACGAAAAACTGTTTTTAGAGAAATCAAAATATAATAAATGAAACATACTTATATTAAAATATCAACCAATGGAAAATAATTACATCTAGAAAGCATATTTGTATGGTTTGTATAGAATGCAAATAGAATGCAAAGGTTGGCTTGTAAATCATTTCTAATCTGCAGTATATATTAACCAGATTTGTAAAGTTAGTGTCTCAAAGTTGCATGAAAACAGAATCCACAAATGTGCACTATAAGAGTCATGCAAAACTGACGAAGACTCTCTAAACACTGGAATGTTCAATAATCTGTGGTATAAATGCCACTTGACATCATTAAACTGTCAGCAGCAGAAAACAGTGAACTCCATTATAATAACGTGATTCGAAGAGATGCTAGTGTCTGGGAACGAATGCTTGATGATTCATATTGAAATGATGCTGTATCATATTAATCACACACTTTAGACTGCATGTGGTCCGCATTAAGGTGTGTCCACTACCAGAGCAGCTGCCGAGAATTTAAAGCACACAACAGGCAAAATAAGAGCTCAAATATGAGTTATGACATTTATAGAGCTGTCAGACAGCGGCATACCGCATGGCACACAGCAGCAACGTCAGCTCATTCACCCATTTATGTTCAATTAAAATGCAGAATCAACATTTGAGTGCTGACATGGCAAACTGATAATATTTAGACAGCTGATCCATGCAAACCTCGCCCATATCCACACAATACGCGCGTAATAATGCATGTGCCATGCGTCTCATATGCCGCTGCGCGTGATGATATGATCATATAAAGTATTTGACACGTCATAATGTCCGCTCACCTTCTCTTTCGTTCCTCTTTTCTCCAGGAAACCCTCGTAATAGCAGGGCGGCAGCTGCGCTTTCGGGGTCCCGGTGCGCGGGTTCGCGGGCGCAGCCGCCATGACTCGAGCAGCTCAGCCCGGTACTGATACACACACACACACACACACACACACACACTGAGGGACAAAGAGCCGCTGGATGATGTTACTGCCTGGGAAACGACACGCCCTCTTTGGGTGAGAGATGGATGGCACTGGATATGCGTGATGAATCTCGTCACTGACACGCATTCAGGGGCTCAACACACACACACACACACACACACACACACACACACCCGAGAGAGTCAATGTGGCATCTGGGATTACATTATGAGCCGCAGGCGCCCGTAGGCAGGACAATCCTATTTTGTGGAAAGCATGTGAGGTTATAAATATAATACTGTTCATTTATTGATGTCTGTTTCGAAGAGAAGAGTTAATTCCATTGTAACTCAGTTGACGCTGTAGTAGTAGCCTTTATTATGAATAATAAATAAAAATAATAAAAAATTATCAATATACATACTACAAATGCATTTAAATATTAATTTAAATATAATATATTTATAATATAAACATTATTATAGTAAAAACTGTAATATTGTGAATTATTATTACAATTTTAAAATAACTTTTATATTTGAATATATTTTAAAATGTAATTTATTCCTGTGATCAAAGCTGAATTTTCAGCATCATTACTCCAGTTTTCAGTGTCACATGATCCTTAATAAATCATTCTAATATGCTAATTTGCTGCTCAAGAACCATTCATTATTATTATCATGATTATTATTATTGAAAACAGCCGAGAATAAAAGTACTTTTTTGTGTGAAAATATAAAAATTAATTAAAAAAAATTCTTTCCAAAAAAATGATTGCTGACCCCAAACTTTTGAATGGCAGTGTATAATGTTACTTTCAGATAAATGCTGAAATATGTCATATTATCAACATTGATGATAATCAGAAATGTTTCTTGAGCAGCAAATCAGCATATTAGAATGATTTCTGAAGGATCATGTGACCCTGAAGACTGGAGTAATGATGCTGAAAATTCAGCTTTGATCACAGGAATAAATTACATTTTACAATATTTTCAAATAGAAAATGGTGATTTTAAATGTAAATTTAAACATTAGTCAATATTACTGTATTTTTGATCAAATAAATGCAGCCTTGGTGAGCAGAAGAGACTACTTTCAAAAACCTTTGAACGGTAGTGTACATAAAATACACAAACCAAGCAAGTTTTCTCTATGGCAATGCAGCGAATTCGTGATCAATGATGCAGAATCTGTGTGAGGAAATGTTTCGCCCTCACACGAAATTTACAATCGCCTGGATTCCTAAGCGTCCGGTGATCCTCTCCGTGCTTTTCATTTCACTCTCACACTCAGCGGTGAGAGAAACCTGCTCAGAGCGAGCGAGCACTGACCTAAAGAAAACACAGACAGCTAGAGTTTCCACCTTTATTTAAAATGAAAAATATACAATGTTCCCTGCACATTTTTATAACAAAACATAAATCACGAATGGATTACGCAGGAAATACTGATTCAAAGAAGCATTCTTTCTCAAACACATGAATGTCGTAAAACTTGAGGCCTAACAATGTTTACCAGGGACAATAAGAGGCACAAGCAAGGTTTTCCATTACATATAGAATACATTCTACCCATAATAAAATATTACTTTTAAATGTAGTGTGGGCAACATCAGAAAGCATGCTGAGCAGCATTGAGAAACGTGCAAGCTAATATAGGGTTAACTCAGAGCAAGACTGAACCTGATTCAAATGTGATCTAGGACTAGAATCTCTCACCCCAAACACACAGACGCGAGCAAAGCAATGTGTTTATTCAGTACTTTACAAAAGCTGGTCACAATAATGGTTTCGGGGTTACCTGACTTCCATGAAGTCAGATTCGCTGACTAATTCAAATGTAATCACACACGTAAAAGAGAAAGAGGTCTGCTCAAATCATTTTGTCATGTTTTGGCCTTCTATCTCTTTCTGAACACACAGTGGTACGTTCACTCCAGAGTACATTACATGCATTGACATATTACTGCATTCTGATGCAAAACAATGAACAATATGCTCTGAATCAGATCTGATTTACTACAGTAACTCTGGACAGATCAGTTTTCAGTGGACACAGCCTCTCGTCATGATTCCAGCAACCGTTTAGGGTTGAAAAGAAATCTGAAATATGATCAATAAGAATATGCCCTGAAAATGCTAGATGATCTAAACCGGTCCAGTCTCTTTATTTGGCATGGTATTTAAAGATACAATCTAAAACACTATTGAGCATCATTGTCATCCTAAGCATGTCCTTTAAAAAAGTGGCAGTATTTAATTGCATGTTCTACAGAGGCCCTGAAGGGACATGGTGATGGAAAACGATACGAGATTGGAGGAAAGATCATACGTCAATGCTTTTGCGTTCCTTGTTTGCTCACAAAAAAAAAAAATTCTTGGGGGAATGCACTAGTTTTGCGAGGCAACACATCTATTTTTCCCACCACCATGTCCCTTTAAGGGCTCCGTAGCTGTTCAACTGTGTTGTCTAACTACAACTTTTGCAGTGATTATAGAGTATATATTCAAAATCATAAAGTATTCTACAAAGGATTTAATAATATCATTATTGTAATGCAAAGACTAACACAAAATCCACAATGACTTTAAATACAAAGATATATCATGTAAACATTTGCTTGGTACAGTTTATCCACGGCGACATTAACACTCACGAGCAAAACGGTTTATAAATCCAGTCTTAAGTCAACACTTTGTGCAAGAATGTTTTTACAGAGAAATTTGCTCTGCGCATGTTGAATGATATGAATACGTCCCTATGAGTTTAGCTGTACGGTAGGCCTAAAGCAAACATACCTTTCCCTGAGAGACAGAAACTGAACCAGGGTTAGTTAGAGGGAACTTCTGAATTCCCTCTTCGAGAAAGGGAAATCAAATTATAAACCCAGAAGACAAACAATCTGGGCTTAACATCAGAATCACAAAAAGTGCTTCACACACTTAATTTCCCCTTTCAAGAGCCCGACATCCCCGTGGAGCTGTAATATCTGTAATCAGAGGGATTTCATAAAGCAGTAACGCTACGAGGCTTCCCTACAAAACGGTTCTCGAAAACACCAGTACAGTGCGGAAGAGGATTTGTAAAGGTTCCTTTTTCCATAGCAAAGATCAGGAGGTGGAATCATGTGTAAAAAGAAGAAAAGAAAAGCAAAAACGATTGTTGTCGAATGTCTACATAAGCACAAACTGGTACTTCTGGTTCATCAAACAGCTGGATTTACATACCGTACTCATTTATAAATAGAATTTGGAAGCAGGAAGTGAGGATTTATAGGAACAGTTTTCTATAATTATTTACTCACCCTCATATGTCCTTCCAAAACCTTATGACTTTTCAGTGTAATGAAACTAAATGTGTTTGGAGCAACATGAGGGTGAAACTTAATTTCTATTTTTAGCTGAACCCATCTCTGTTAATGCTCATGCAAAGACAGTTTGGCTTTTCTGAATTTACGGATGACCTCTTTTTGTTTAGCATGAACATAACATAACATTAAACTCAATGCTGACACAATTATTAATGCACAGCTCAAATGAACACAGCATTTAAAGGGATAGTTCACCCAAAAAGGAAAATTCTGTCATTATTTACTCACCCTCAAGTTGTTTCAAACCTGTATGAGTTTCTTTCTCCCGCCGAACACAAAAGAAGATATTTTGAAGAATGTCGGAAACCAATCAGTTGATGGGCCCCATTGATTCCATAGTGTTTTGTATCATAGGATCTTGTTTTAGGTTCAGCAGATGAAAGAAATCCACAGGTTTGGAACAACTTGAGGGTGAGTAAATGACAGATTTTAATTTTTTGGGTGAACTATCCCTTTAAGATAAATAAAATAAACCGAGTACAACTAAACCCAATGGGAAAGGGTCAGTTCATCTTTCATGTGAATCAAACGAATTACCATGACCGTAACAATTGCATTATGAAGTATAAAATAAGTTCTATTCTTATAGCTGAGCTTTTCGCCAGTCAGAAAGAGCTGATCCCTGATTGACCGGCAGCTCCTACGTGGCCACTAGAGGTCAGTGATTACCAACAAGAGACATTTCTTACACAGTAAAGATGCAGCTGAGTGCATTTGTAAGCAAGTAACATCATTATAGGAAACCGATATTAAAATAATATCCATTTGACTCTAGAATGAACACTCCCAAAACGGATTTATCTTTAACATACTTCTCAATGATGTTTATTGTACTTTAGGGAATTGAAGTGTTATACAAAGCTGGACCTCAACCCTAAGTAAAAAAATACCCAGACACATACTGTATCTCTTTCAGGAGGTCAAAGTGCTCACAGTGAAATACAAGTCACAAATATTCCCCTTTTTCCCTGTCTGTCTGTACCTGACATTGCACTTTCTCGTGCTGTTTTCTGTGTGTGTGTGTGTGTGTGTGTGTGTGTGTGTGATCAGTGCCGCAGGGGCACCATCACCTCCACGTAGTTACAGGGGAACAGTCCCGCCTGTCCGCGCAGGCTTCCCTCGTACCAGTTCTCGTCGATCTGATTGGTCAGCGTGATGACGTCGCCCTCGTTGAAGCCAAGCTCTCCGTGGTTCTCAGGATCAAAGTCGTACAAAGCCTTGCAGCACGGCTGATCTGTCGCTATGGAGACCAAAGAATGTTTGAGAAAAGAGAGGATAAAGGGTGAAGATGCACACAGAGAGAAAAAAAGAGGAAAAGTGAACAGAAACATTAAAAAAAAAATACAGAGAAAAAATAAATTAACTATTAGTGGACTGATTATTGTAAGAACAGATTAGGAACATTAAATTCAATTCTTTAACTGCTATTTTTGAGAGAATAAGATACAAAAAAAAAATCAATAAAATGTATGCTATTTATTAGCAAAACTATATTTTATGAAGTTGTGCAACCATGTTACATAACTACATTTTTAAAACAGATTTGTGTCATTGTTAATTCTAGCAATAAACATCAAGTAATCTTAATTCTACATGAATTAAAATGTTAAATAATAATAATAATAATATAGTAATAAAAACAAAATGACCAAATAAATAAATAAACAATAAATTAATTAATTCATAATTTTTTAAATAGTCATGCGTCATCACGTAATCTTAACAACAGAATACTATAATAATACAATTCTAGGATAAAAAGTTTAAATAATAACAATATATTATTATTCAACCTTTTTATTATTTTTTATAATTTTATTACAATATATTATTATTATTTAAACATTTTAACCTAGAATTTTATTATTATAGTATTCTGTTGTTAAGATTACGTGATGACACATGACCAAATAAATAAACAATAAATTAATTCATTCATATTTTTTTTAAATAGTCATGTGTCGTCACCCGTCACATAATCTTAACAACAGAATACTATAATAATACAATTCTAGGTTAAAAAGGTTAAATAATAATAATGTGTTGTAATAAAATAATAAAAAGGTTGAATATATTGTAATAAAATAATTAATACAAATAATAAAATAAATAAAAATGTTATTAAATGAAAAATGTGTACATTTTATTAATTTTGTATCCATCCATCTATCTATCTATCTATCTATCTATCTATCTATCTATCTATCTATCTATCTATCTATCTATCTATCTATCTATCTATCTATCTATCTATCTATCTATCTATCTATCTATCTATCTATCTATCTATACATACAGTGTACTCAACTTGTGTAAAGTGCTAATGAAAAAGAAATTGTCTTTAATGAAAACTGACATATTTAGCATTTTAAGCACATGCACTACTACAACATTCATGCAAAGGTGTGCCTCAAGAAAGTTAAATTAACAGATTGATTAATCAAATAAAAAGGACAGTTCTGCCACCTCAAAACATGCAGGCCACAAAAGGGTCAATAGTAGTTCTCTTCTCAAGCAATCCAAACCCACCGTGCACAAGACAACACTCATTAAACATGGTCCACATAACGCCAAACTACATCGGAATCACTGCGAATTGTGGCGCGTGTGCTGCCTATGTAGTGCGATCCAAATCAATCACTTATAAGCTCCCTTTAGGTTTGGATGCTGCCTTAGAAGAAACCCTATGTAGACAGTACAGTGAGGCAGATCACTATGTTTAACAACAGCTTGTTTGTGTATGCGTGAGATGTTAAAAACTGTTAATGCAGGTTTTAATTAATAACTTATTCAAGCTCCCCGGTGGATGATTCAACATGTGGCAGATTGATCAAGCTTTTGATTCATCTTATGAAGGGAAAATAAATGTGTCAAACAAACAGCATCTCATTTACATGAGTGAACTGTCTGTGCTCATCACGGGTTTGTAATATGTGGGAGTGTAATTAGCAGGAGGGTGATTCACACCGCTCGGTTTCAATAGGAATTGAGGCCGGGAAAAGTCTGGCATAGAATAAAAGCCCTTCACCATGTCAAGTGTGTGCTTGCATGTGACTCACAATTACGTTTTTGCCGTGAAGATGTCCTGTTAAAGGAGGGGGCCGCTGACGTAAAAGAAAAACAATAGTCAGTCTCTGCGTGGCCACCCACACACACACACACACACACACACACACACACACACACACACACACACACACACACACACACACACACACACACACACACACACACACACACACACACACACACACACACACACACACACACACACACACACACACACACACACACACACACACACACACACACACACACACACACACACACACACACACACACACACACACACACACACACACACACACACACACACACACACACACACACACACACACACACACACACACACACGCATCAAATACTCACATCTATCCACACGAACATGCATGATAACTGAATTTTCTTTATGCAGAGAATACCTAGATGACCTTCTACACCTTGTGACATTTGCTAAAATGTACTGTATAATGCAGAGCACTGAGAAATAATGTATCCCACAATGCAACACCAGTGTTGTTAGCTAAAACCAAAACAAAAATCGTTTTAGTTACTGAAATATAGCTGAATTAAAATTAAAATATATGATGAAAAACTAAAATTATAAATGTTGCCTTGGCAACTAACTGAAATAAACAAGATGAAGTACTACAATTCCTAATCATAAAACTGAAATAAAAATAAAAACAAATATTAAAAACAAAAATGACAAAAGCCCATAACAAATTTACTAAAACTTAAATAAAAATATTAAAATAAAAGCTAACTATTAATTAATACAACAATAGTATATGAATAATACTAAAATAAAACTGCAATGCACTCAACTTCTGTCAATCATTTTCAGTATTATTGAAATAAATTAAAATATTAGATGAAAACCTAAACTTAAAATACTCAAACAGTTTTTCAGTTAGTTGCCAAATCAGCATTTCTATTGTTTAAGTTGAAGCACTACAATTACTAAAACTGAAATACAAATAAATGAAATCTAAATAGAAATATTAAAACAAAAAAAAAATGACAAAAGCACATGACAAAATTACTAAAAGAAAAAGACTGAAACCCTAATTGTTGCCCCAGACATCAAAATCCCATCAATCCTTCAACACCTTAATTCTCCGAGCTCCTCTGTCCAGTCGAGCCTCAGAAATCTTGGCGTCTGGTTTGACCAGGGTTTTATTTTGGGCTTTTTATTTTTTAATTGTATATTGTTTTATTATTTTGGTTGCACTTTGTAAAGCACTTTGTGATTTTATCTGTGAAAAGGCCTCTATAAATAAACTGTACTTACTAAAACAAACTAAAGTTAAAATGAAAGCAGAAAATGTATAAATAAAACCTAATTCAAAATATGAATAAATACTATAATATGGTGTCTGATTAAGCAATTGAGAGTAGTTTTCATTATTTCTTTCAGCATATGACTCAATTTCTATGAGAAATAAGCATTGTAGTCAATAAATATTTGCTTGGTTATGACTAAATCTCATTGAATGTTTTTCTAGATATTGAGACATGACTTTATATTGCTTTGGGAGGCAGATTGAAACCTCAGACAGTCTGTTTCCTTAGAAGGTTCCACTATACACAAAAGCAAGTTATTGACTGTCTGGGGCAGCCAGGCTGGTGTAGGTTTTGGACAGCCAACATTTTAAATACTAAGTATTATGCGGCCTCTGTACAGCAAATTGTGGTGCATGTGGAGATCTGCTGAGCTTTTGGTTACATGAATCAATGAATATAACCAACTAGATTGATTTCAATTAACCATTGGTCTTGGTTAACATGATTTTTAGAAGATTTTTCAAAAGCTGTATGTGTGAGCAAATGCATCATTAGTCACTTTAATATAGGAAATTGCATGATTAACCTTTCCTGAAGGTAGGTCTGTCTTTTGCACACATAATGGCTTTCTGTGTTTCATTTCAAGCATTATCATTCAGATTGTGACTTCCTGAGGAAATCAAATTTAAATCAAATCTAGTCCACCAAAAAAATGCAGTTAAATTTGCAGTAAAGGCTGTTTTTATAATGTTTTTATGAAGCCTTATGTAAATGAACAGGACAAGCTCACCTGCGGATGGATACGAGGGCGACGCAGCTGACGGATTCCAGCCTCCGTTAGAGTCTTCTGACTCTGAATAATCAAAACTGGGTCTGGACACAGGCATCCGTTTCTGGCGCGGCTGAGACTGGGCCTTGTTTACTCTACAGAACACACGCAAACATGAACATAAATCCATGCACACAAACACACACAGGTTGCAAACAGGTAAACCATGTATCAGGGGCTGAAAATAGTTCCCCAGAAAATGAATTCAATATTCAGAACACTTGGAATATATTTCCGAGGTCATATGGACTTCTTAAACGTGAAGTATGTAAGACTACGTCACAAAAGTGTGGACTCATAGAAGGATCGCGAGTGTTTCGGGTGCCATTTGGGACAGGGCCAATGATGCACGAAAGGTGTGTTTGCAAGGTTGTTTGAAAATATTTTCTTTGTAAATCCGTTAGGTGCTTTTGCATCCTATTTGAAGCTTGAAAGCTTTCGTCCCCATTCATTGTAACTGCATAGGAAAAAGTGGCAAAATACGTAAATTCAAAATTTCCCCTAATGTGTTCCAGAGAAGTAATAATGTCAAATGGATTTGGAAGGAATTTTAATTTATGTGATGAAGAAAGATCCTCTTGAAATGATGCATGTTCATCTCTAACCTTTCTCTCATCCTCTCTGCCAGCTCCTCCAGGACCTCCATAGACTGTTTGTGAAACTGCAGCTGAGATTCGACCAGAGCTGCGAGCTGACTCACCTGCTCCACCTACAAACACACAGACACACATGTACAACGCATTAAAAGATGTTATTGCTTTAGAAAAAAAGAGCTGCAATCTTTTAAGCTAAATAAAAAACGAATCAGTTTTTTTGTTTTCTAAAAATACTTACGCATCCTTGAAACAAAATGCAATTTCTTCAGACGTAAAATAACATGTGATAAAGAGGTTTTCAGGAAATATCTCTCAATAACCAAGTTTATTTTTCTTTACAGCATTTTTTTCTTGTTTTTAGCATGAACCACACTAAATTGTTCACTTTTTTTATGAAAAAACAAACGGGACACTCTACATTCCTGTGGCATTCAACTCAATTAAATTGCGTGCTTCACTCAATTAAAATTAATCGTTACAAGTATCGTGATCATCATAATCATAATATGCACATGGAAACACCTGGAAGGAGCTTTATATCCAAATCATAAATCATAAAATTGAGTTTCAAGAAATGAAGATGTGACGGTGAACAATCCTATGATGACCTAAATGATTCATACATCAGTTTAATGTCATAAGTCTGGGCCAGTTGCATAAACATAGCTACTAAGTTAAGACTGTGTCGTAAGAACTAGTCTGACCAACTTTTTATGTTGCTGACTTGAAGTTATGACCAGTCTTAAAGAAAAAATATCATATTAAATAATATCATTGGACTGCATGACTACTAGATATTCATGTACCATGGTGTTTGGATGGTACTTACATGGCACACTGAGAAACTTTTTGCGAGCTAACATCAATAACTTTGTTTAATTACAGGCCCGTGCTTAAGATCGATGTGGCAAAGAATCAGAAATATCCCAAAGTTTTCTCTGGGCTGCAGTCCAGTGTCGATAAAAACAGACTGATAAATGTGTTGGCTCAGCAGACTGTTTGGAAAATATCCAGCACTCATTGATGTGGATCACTGTAGCAACATTACAATTATATGACTCTGGATGGCCCTGGACTATAAAAACTTTCCAAAAGAGGATCTTTTGATTTTTAGCAGTGTTTTTCTCAGGCAAGCATCACTTGGGATTGGTGAAATTAAATTTCAGCATGAAACCCGTCCTGCACTGTTTGTGCTATGGATATTAATGATTTGCTCAAATCGTGTGGCTTATTAGAAGAGATGTGCCATTACTTTAAAACTTATGTTGGTTGCACTTTATTTTACAGAATGTGCACTTATATGTATTTACAGTGTACTTGCCTAAGAAAGTACTGGGTAATATAAGGTACGGGTTAAGGTTAGATTTAGGGGTAGGTTCAGGGTTAGTACCTAGTTATTATTACCCAGTTTTTGCAATTACTATTATAAGTACATGTTGTTACGTTCCACCTGTGTTTGTGTATTATTTTGTGCTTTTGTTTCTATTCGTTATTCTTAGGTTGTGATCATTGGCTGTCCATACCAATCCGCTGACGTTCCGCCGGTTTAAAAGGCCCAATGACAAGGAGTGAGCAGATCAGCGCCAGATCTCAGTCAACACCTGTGCCTTGAGCTGTCTGTCGAACCATGATCACGTTAATCTTTATGTTTATGCAGTGGTTTTGAGATTAACACTCCTTCGGGTTGTTATTGTTGTTGCTGACGTACTATTGCACTGTTCTGAGAGAATACGCTGTTTCAGCGCTAGTCTAGATCACCAAAAAAAATCGTATTAAGTGCATTGTGTGCGTGCGCGGTTAATCTAATTAGAACGCGGTGTGTTGTATGCAGTAGCCTAATCATGGAGCATTTAGATTTGATTTTCGTTTGTGTTTCCTGATTTCGTGTTCTACTGATCGTTGGCCTTTATGAATACGTCTTCAAAGACAACGGTAGATAGCACTGTTTTTTTTTGTTAGTTAGTTGGAGAGTGATCGCCATCCACTGTATTTCTTTTTATTAAGTCACTGTAGTTTATTTAAGGCAGGGTATACGCTGAAGATTTCGGGTTTGTTGGCAACAGTATCTCACGTAAATGTTGCGCAATCATCCCGTTTACATCTTTAAGCACGTAACACATGTACATGGGGAACAGGACTGTAAAATAAAGTGCTACCCTTATGATTTTGGATGGTAAAACTAAAACTAAAGATATAATATGAAAAAAGGAATACAGTAATTTTATTTTTTAATGTTTTGCCATTTTAAATCATAGCTAAGAATCCATTTTCAAACGATATGAGTTTGTAAGGTTTTCCGAAATGGAAAGATAACGTTACAAATTCCATTTTGCAAAACACATTAGTACCTTAATAATTACATTGCTGTTTTGGTAGTCACTTTTTACAAAATTGATTTGTGTATTTTGTGACTGATTAACCATTAAAGTTGCAATATGTAATAGTGACAGGACAGCTAGCAGTTGAAATGACTACTGTTAAAAATATCTGAGAGAGATGCGGGTTGCCAGATTGAGGACACAGAAACGAGAGCAATTGACAATGGAAAGCAACAAGCCGTACACTATAAGTTAATTAGCCACTGTATACGTTTGCAATGTTTGTATTGCCTTCCATAGCTGCAATACGGTGTGTTTTCCACCAACTGGCAACCCAGGATGTTGAAATACTATTGGGTAAATTGGCAGTAGGCGGGATCACACAGATCATAACAAAAACAGACACGGAATGCACATGTCAAAGTAGAATAACTAGTTTGGCTGTAGAATTGTTTTTTAGAGAAACACGTATTTGAACTTGTTCTCTGCAAACATATTATGGTATTTTTATGCTTTAGTACAGGCAAAATAACATACAGCACCTTTAAAGACAGCTAAAATTAAACCACATACTAAGTGTCGAAATCGTCACCACAGCGCAATGTCCATATATCAATACTGTTCAGCACCTTAAAACGAAGAGTTCAGAGACTCTAATAGGCTGAAGTGAGCTTACGTCAGTATCCAGAAGGTTCTGCATGCTGGTTACAGCTACATCTTTGGACTCTTCGAACTTCTCCACCGCCAGCCTGAGCTCCTCATCCGGAATCTTCCCCTGACGCTTCTTCTTGTAGTCATAATCCAGTCGACGGCCCTCCAGTTTCTTCAGGTGATGCTGAAAGAAAACCAGAGCATATTATTATTGTTATTAGACTTTTAGACTTAAAGGTTTTAAGAGCAAAATTTACACTGATCATTCCTGAAAAATGCTAGTGAGACAAAAGTATGCAGAGGTTAGCCAATCATAAGAGAGGTAATTTACATGTCTTAAATGTACAGTAAAAAAACAATGGGTCAACAAGGGTGGAAAATGACCATGAAAAGTAAAGTAAGGCTTTTTGCAGTGCAGAAACCTTATCTCTTAACTAACTAAGACTTAACATATAGGGAAATAATGATAAATGATAAAAAGAGTGCCCTTTAAATCATATTATTGTCTTTCTTATTCCAAAATTCTACAAAAGATTTCTGTGAATAAATACATGACATTATTATTAATATTATTGTGAATTTGTCTTTTTATAAAATTGTCAGTTAGTTTTCATAATAATATGCATTTTTAATAAAAGGCTTAATTACAATCCTACACAATTGCTCAAACATTTAGCCAATGACTTATGAATTATAGATTTAATCAATAAACTCTTTGATTCAGAAACCAATTGATTGGAGTTTTCCACCTGTATGTCTTTAAGGTCCTTGTCGACTATTGTTTGGAAAGGGTCGATGAAGTTCTGCTTGACGTCAATGTCTAGAGAGTCTTTCACTTCTGCCAGTCTCTTCATGGCCTCTCCCATCTCCACTAAAGCACCACCTGTAGATCGGGTGTAGAACATGAACAAAAATATTATGCAAAAAAAAAAAAGAAAGATCCTATAATAGCTGTATAAACAAAGAGCAATACAATATGCTTAAACACAGACACTCAACATATCTCTAACAATCATGAGATGCTGAGAATCTGAATAGATTTTTGTTTCATGTTTCTCTGTTTGTTTTTGTTTTGTCTCATGGTACATGTTACTGTAAAAATAATAATTCATACATAAATAAATAATACGAATGAAATGTACAAAATGAACTATGAAATATGAGAAAGAACATTCCTCTTACCAAAGTTGTTGTCCTCTCCCAAGTCTCGGCCGTATTTGAGCATACACTCTCCCAGAAGGCCCTCTGCCTGTGGATAACCTGGGCTCTTCACCTGCCCACGCATCTTAGACATGGTGTTCACCATGGTCAGTCTCGCTCTCGATGCTGAGGTACAAGACAGACAGACAGACAGATGAATACAAAGAAACATACACTGCAAAAAAATAAAAAAAATCTAACTTTGTCCATTACAAATATCTAAATATTCATACATTTACATGAGAATTAAAATGACAAGATATAAAGTATTATTTTCAAAAAAAAAAAAATGTATATAACTTCAGTGATTTAAAAGAATAAACTTGTTTTCCTTGTGAATAAAATATATTTCCCTTACCCTACTACTGGCAGATTTTCTTTCTTGTTTTAAAAATAAAAATTTTCAGAATACAAGACATTTTGTTTCTCAAGTAAATGTACCTTAATTAAATCAATAAACTTTGATTTGATTTTAAAGAGCAATTGATTGCAGTTTTCCTCCTGGATGTCTTTCAGGTCATTGTCGATTATAGTTTGAAAAGGGTTGATGAAGTGTACTTGACCAAATGACACTACGTCTTGTTTTTACAAAAAAATATACTTAATTTATACTTAAAACAAGAAAAAACATCTGTCAGTGGGGTAAGAAAAATATACTTAATTCAAAGGGAAAACAAGTTGAATTTTTAAGTCACTTAAGTCTTTATATATTATGTCGTTTTGCTTCTGAAGTAAATGTAAAATGAGAGTGCCACTATTATGCTTTTTTTTAACATTACCTTTCATGCAGCGTGTAATATAGCTATTTGTGAACGTAAAATGTCTGCAAAGTGTACGATAAAGTTATTGTCTCTTAAAAGAAAGAATCGACTAAAACAAAAAGAGTCATCAGCCATTCCGTTGTAACAATGTAACAAATTTGCATAATGCCAGCCTATGGTCTTCATTGGCCAGCGAACAAAGTCTATTTTGACCCGGCCTCAAACACTGTAGTTGTAGCTGAGACTGGAAGAGTTTGGTTCATGTTGTCGACATGTCAAAAAGACACTGTTTTCAGCACTGCAAATCCACTTTGCTGCATTTACTTCAACAGGATGAGGACTCACGCTGGAATTGATACGCTAAAACCGATGCCATCGTTACTTTGTGTCATTGGGTGCTTCTCATTTCTTATTTGTGCATCCTCGTTTCCTTCCCTTGCCTCTCAGCTCCAAGGAAAGAAAATGAGGACAGAGGAATCAAAGGAAATCTTCTTGATCACTCGAGAGTCACTTCATAACTTCACAAGCTGCGCTCAAGGGATCTGCCCTTATGCGGTTGAAGTTTGATTATTTAAGAAATTCATAAATAATAATAATAAAGCAAGATGCCCAGTTGAAATATGTGTGCTATATGATTCATTTAAACTGCAAAGGAAAAGCATAAATGAAAATGATTGTGACAGATGTGAAGAGGGAGGAGAATTTATACGTGCGTCAGGTTTCTCGACAAGAAAGACTTCCGCATAGGATTTTGACCTTGAATGCATGTAAACCTATTGTAGGAGACCGCCAAAACAAAATTAAGCACCTTTAAAATAGCATAATAGAGGCACTTTAAGAATGTTTAGATATGTGCAAATTGTATTTGACTTTAAATTCAGCACATGGGGAATATTTTGTCCATTTTTCACCTGGGTTGGGCTGCAGGTATTCAGCAGTTTTGCAGAGCACTTCTGATATGGCTTTACTGGTGATGTCAGCCTTCTGTGAAGCACAAATGTCAGAGTACAGGTGTGTGTCTTTACGTCACACTGTCAACAGAGACCACACATCGACAGCACTCACAGACAAAGTGAGACGGACTTGAAACAATCAGCAGCGGTCACACCTACTGAAACATTCAGACTGATACCGAGGTAAAGGAATATTCCGTGTTCTTTACAATGTGAGCTTGACAGACTGCATTTGTGGTCTGCTGTGGCTTACCACAGAAAATCATGCAAATTATGTGTTTCAAAGCAGAAATGGGAAGCTTGTGGGGTTTTTTTTTAAAGCTCTTACAGGAATTCCTCTGAAAAAGGAATGAGCGATAAATGAGCTTTGAGTTATGAGCTGTAAATTTGTCATTTTGAGATGGGGCCACTTCTCTAGGTGACGGATATTTTGGTTATTCATTACTGACGCAATTCCTGTGGGCGGAAAAGGTGTTAACCACTTTTTTCTTTTCAGTCTAATGCCAAGTATTATTAAAGCCAGTATTTGTCAACATTTAACAACAAAACTTGTGATTTCTGAGGATAAAATGGGCAATAATAATGGGAATTTAATATTATATAATTTGAAAGCCACCATCACAAAACATAAAATAAATTATTAACCTCTGTGTTTGTTTATCATAGATAGGAAGTAGATATAGTTCATATTTTACTACAGTTTTTGTTCAGGGGCCTGATGTTTAAATGTTGTGTTGCATTGAATCACTGTCCGGATTTACTAAAGACACACAGTGAAAAATTAGCGCTGAAAAGGCGTGGACGGAGTTATTTTTGCGGCTGACTTCATTGCATTTGCAGGAGTTTTCCTTTCAGACGTAACATTTATGGGAGGAGAATATTTAAATAAGTCATGCAAGGTGATTTACTAAGGTTTGCGCTAGTCAATTTTCGCCCTTATTTTCCGGCCAAAAAAGCCTGTCTTAAACCAGATGCTAATTTGCGCTTCTTTAACTTTCCACTCCCATCATCACTTTTTTTTTAAGTGACCTCTCATGCTAATTTGCCTGTTTAGTAATTCTGCCCCTAAATATTTAATGTCTAGGCGCATCATAATTCCTTTTAAAACTAAATTGCAGAACTCATGTTCTGATAAAATATGTCTTGCGAGAACAATGATTAGACTTGACTCTGATATTATGTCTCTAACACACAAATGGCATTTAGAGTCCATATCTCATATTTGTCTTGTACTGTTAAAAATGGTATCACACGGATGGGAATATACATATGGAAATGATATGCAGATGACATTATGCATAGTAAATCTAGGCATTGTAAGCTACATGTATGGTTATTTCAAGGATATAGAGTGGAGATGCATGTACACTTATAAATCTGAAAACGTTTGTGCGAACACGAAATCTAGCTTTTGTGCGTAATCCACTTTTAGGATGAAATCTACAGAAAGTTTTATACAGTACATGAGGCCTCAGAAGGTTTGTGTGTCAGCGAATTGCACCTGACTATTTGTGTAGAGGATGTTTCTGGCCAATTTTATTGTTGAATTTATAACAAAAACTTTCAATAAGTAGGAAGAAGGAAGTCTTGATCATATTTAAAAGAACTTGAACATGGCTATCACAATGTGAATGTTAAAAATGTGTTACCTTTTCAAGGTCTTTGAAGTCCTCATCCAGTTTGGTTCCCTCTGCACCTCCCACCTTCTCACTCACCATCTAAAACACATCGGTACAAGGACTTTCAAATTATATAAATTTTTTTAAACCAAACTAATGATATTTTATATCCCCTAACCATTACAGAAAACATTTAGCATTTTTGATAAAACTTTATTTTGGTATTGGGCTAATAGAGAATATGAGAAAACAGAAACCATGCATGAGCATCAAAACACATTTGTGAGATTGTATGATAAAGTATTCAAATACAAGAAACATTCATTGAATTGCAAATGTAAAGACAAAGAGATACGCTCTTAGATCTTACATCTAAATACCTGCTGCACATTTAGTTCACGTTACAGAACGAGCAAGAAAGAGCAATGATGTTTGGCATGCAAGGAACTTAAATGGTTGCCTTTGCGGGTTCACATAAGAACCTTGTGTCACAAACTCTATAAAATGTATTTAAAGCACATGCTCATGTGCTTTGGTGCTCATGCGGGAATTACAGGTTTGCGTCTGTGCAACGTTTCCCAATTCCAATCCTACTCTTTTCCTATTAATTTCTCATCCCTCTGCACTACAAACCAAAATAACACAGGATATGAACAGGTTATGGGGATACACGGGCTGGGGGTCATGAACGAAAATGGAGAGAGATTTGCGGAGCTGTGTGCGCTTAACCAACTTGTCATCGGAGGTAGCGTCTTTCCTCATAAGCGGATCCACAAAAGCACCTGGGGATCACCGGACGCTAAGACAGAATACCAGATTGACCACATCTGCATTAGCAAGACGTTCAGAAGATCCCTTCAGGACGTTAGAGTTAGAAGAGGAGCAGATGTGGGGTCCGACCACCAACAAGTTGTAGCCAGCATGCATATGAAGCTAAAAAAGAACTGGATGGAAAAAACACCGCCTAGAGTGAAGTATGATGTCAGCCGCCTAAAGATCACCAGTGTCAGGTACGAGTTTGAACTTCAGTTCAAGAATAAGCTTGAGATGCTACGAGAGCGGCACAAGGGAGTGGAAAGAAGCAGCGTACAGGCCAACTGGCAAATTATAAAAGAGGCATTGAGAACAGCCTGTCAAGAAGTGGTTGGAACACAAAAACATCATCACAAAGAATGGATCACAGCTGAGACCTTGGGCAAGATAAAAGAGAGAAAACTGAAAAAAGTGGTAATAAACAACAGCAGGACTAGGACAACTAAGGCAAAGGCACAAGTTGAATACGCAGAAGCCCACAGAGCAGTTAAGAAAAGCATTAGGAAGGACAAGAAAGATTACATAGATGGACTGGCAGCAGAAGCGGAGCAGGCAGCATATAGTGGCAACATGAAACAGCTGTATGATACGACAAAGACATTGTCTAAGAAGTATAGCAAGCCAGAACGAATCGTCAAGGGTAAGGATGGAAAGGCCACCACAGGACTAATACAACAGATGGATAGATGGTCTGAACACTTTGAAGAGTTGTTGAACAGACAAGCGCCACCAAACCCACCAAACATCAACCCAATGGACGAAGATCTCCCCATCAACTACGACAAGCCGACCATCGGAGAGATCAGGAGATCAGGAAGGCCATCACCTTGCTGAAGAACGGAACGGCGGCTGGACCTGATGATATACCTGCAGAGGCCCTGAAAGCAGATCTGAACGTGTCAATGGAGATGCTGTACCCACTCTTTGAGAAGATCTGGGAGAACGAAGAGATACCGGCTGACTGGAAGGAGGGTTATCTAATCAAGCTTCCTAAGAAAGGTGACCTCAGCAATTGTAACAACTACAGAGGTATCACTCTCCTGTCTGTGCCAGGCAAGGTCTTTAATCAGATCCTCCTAGAGCGAATGAAAGACTCTGTCGATCTACAACTACGAGATGAACAAGCTGGTTTCCGGCAGAACCGATCATGTATAGACCAGATCGCAACGCTGCGAATCATAGTGGAGCAGTCTTTGGAGTGGAAATCACCGCTGTATATCAACTTTGTCGATTACGAGAAGGCTTTTGACAGTGTGGATCGAGAGGTCTTATGGAAGCTCCTCCGGTACTACGGCATTCCATCCAAGTTGGTAAAGCTGATAAAAAGCTCATACGAAGGCATGACATGCCAAGTGATCCATGCAGGACAGCTCACCAACAGCTTTCGGGTGAATACTGGAGTCCGACAAGGATGCTTGTTATCCTCGTTCCTTTTCCTCATCGTCATCGACTGGATCATGAAGACTTCTACCAGCAAACGCAGAAATGGGATTCAGTGGACATTATGGAATCAACTTGATGACCTAGACTTCGCCGACGACCTCGCACTTCTCTCCCACAGCCAGCAACAGATGCAAGAGAAGACCAGTGTGTTGACAGGCACATCAGCTCAAGTTGGACTCATTATTCACAAAGAGAAGACCAAGATTTTTAAAACGAACTCCAGTAACACCAACCCAATCAAACTGAGCGGAAGTCCTCTGAAGGAGGTGCAGTCATTCACCTACCTGGGCAGCATCATTGACCAACATGTTGGAACAGAAGCAGATGTCAAGGCAAGGATAGGAAAAACAAGAGGCGCCTTCATCCAGCTCAAGAACATCTGGGCTTCCAGAGAGCTGACCTTGACTACCAAGATCAGACTGTTCAACTCCAACGTGAAATCAGTACTGCTGTACGGCGCTGAAACCTGGAGAACAACCAAAGCCACCAACAGTAAAATCCAAACCTTCATTAACACCTGTGTTACGAATAAAGGTGATTACAGGAGACTGCGACTTTGGGTGTCTCTGTATTTCTTTGTGTTTCTGCCGTGGTCTACTTTCTCTTTCGCAGATGAAGCGCTGATTGGTTGTCCTGGTCACACTCATTGGCTCATCTCTGCGGCTTGTCATCAGAGAGGAGGGAAAGAGCGATCCAATCACGGGGATCATCAGGAAATGCGGGAACTATAAAGGAGCACCTGAACGCGATTGATGTGGCCAGCCTTTTGTTTTGTGAACTGCAACCGTTCGCTTAGTTCTTTGTTATGTTTGTGTTGACATTCGTTTGATTATTGAATCAGTTCGTTTATGTTAAGTTTGTCATGTGAATCAGTGTTAGTTCTGTAACCTGAACTCCTTTACTCGTTATCTGGAATTGAGTATTGATGCTTTGTTAAAACGGGATAAAGAAAAGGGTCAGGTAAGATGTCACGTGACATACATTGTGCACATGTAGCATTTTTCTTTGTTTAAACACACTAGATTTAGGGACAAGTGCCACCGTTGTATTTTTGTTTTGGTTAGTTAGAGTAGGGAAGCATACGACGTCGCGGACGTCGAAGACTTTTCTTTTCTACATTTTATTTTGGTTAGTTAGGTTAGACTAAAAACGGGTAAGAAAGATTGTTTTCTTTTTATTCATTTCTTTGAGTTGGCACTGTCCAGTTGCCCTTTTCCTTTCCCAGAATTAATATATATTTTGCTGGTATGTTTATGTTACTTTATTGATTGACAATTATTTGTTTGAAGTGTTTCTTTATAAATATATGTACTTGTGAAATACATATATTTTGTGGAGAACTCTTTTTGACCGGTTGTGGCCAGCAATAAAAACCCTTAAGTATTCTACTGCCTTTGCTTCACTCACTTCCCAGTGTTCTTTTGGTAATTATTGTCGAGGGATGATTGATGTTCCCCTTCTAACGCCCTAGACGGCTAAAATCTAAGAAGGGTCGTAACATTAATGGGGGCTCATCCGGGATCTTAACTCTTCCTGGAAATTAATTAATATTGGATTGATTAATTAATTGTCCCGAGACACCCTTGCTATTTTTACACTGGGAATGTGGTGAGTGAATAAATAATTTTAGTAGGCTAGTAGATTTGATCAGCAGGAATAATGGCAACGTTTGATTTGGAAAGTTTTATTGAAAATCCTACTGTAGAATTGTTAGATTGCTGCAGAAAGGATGACTTGTTAGCAATCGCGAAACATTTTCAGATCATTGTGGTTCGACAGTCTCTTAAGAGGGAAATAAAATCCATTATACGTGAGCAGTTAGTAGAGAGGAATGTGCTTGTGGTACCAGACAAAGGGGATATAGTAGAGTGTGATGTGGATATTGAAACGTCGAGGGGCGATGAGTTTACGCCTGTAACAGGGGAAGGAATTAGAACGGGGTTACCTCAATTTGAACCGTTCTCTCCTACTTCTATAAATTCAAAGGGAGACGCGAGACTGAAAGTTCGTCTGGCTCGATTGCAGCTGGAAGCACAAGAGAAAGTGCAGAATCGTCAGGGTGAGTTGGATTTGCGATTACAGATTCGCAAGTTTGAAATTGAGGCAGAGAAACAGATAAAAATGCGAGAGTTGGAGCTCGAGGCAATGAAAATTGTGGGGAGCTCTGCTGCGCAACTGCATCCACCTCGAGATATCAACGTTCCTCCTGTTCATACTCCACCGTTGGCAACCGTGTCCTCTGTTCATACTCAACCACTAGTGTCATCAGCTTCTCCATCGTTAGCAGCTGGGTCATTCGATGTCAGTAAGCATATTACGCTAGTTCCACATTTTAGAGAGACCGAGGTGGACTCATATTTCAATGCTTTTGAGCGTATTGCTCTATCACTCGGTTGGCCGAGAGAGGTTTGGGCTATTCTTTTGCAGTGCAGGTTGATAGGAAAGGCGCAAGAAGTCTTTTCTACTCTTTCTTTGGAGGATGGTTTAAAGTATGAGACTGTGAAATCGGCAATATTACGTGCGTATGAGCTAGTCCCAGAGGCATACAGACAAAAGTTTCGAAGCCATAAAAAGAATTCTAACCAGACTTTTGTAGAATTCGCAAGGGATAAAAGTATTCTGTTTGACAGATGGAGTAATGTAAGCCAAGCTGATAACTTCGTTTCGTTGAGAGAATTAATTCTGTTGGAGGAATTTAAATCATGTCTTTCTGAACGTGTGGTGGTGTACTTAAATGAACAAAAAGTTGATTCACTGTCTCGTGCTGCGGTCTTGGCAGATGAATTTGTACTCACGCATAAGACAGCTTTTTCAGTGACACGCGCTGAAAAGAGCGTGACCGA